GGGCCCGGCGCCTGCCATTATAAACCCAGTACTGATTAGTAAGTTGGATGTGTGCATTTTGAATAAATATGAGGGAAGTGATCTGGCTGAAATTATCTTCCCATCTCTATCCCAAAACACATGGAACCCCAGAATTTAAGTAAAAGCTTAAAATGCTAAAAAAATAAAATAAAAGAGGAACAGGAAAGTTCCCCTTCTCCCCCAATACATTGTTAAAATCTAGCTAATACACCTGAAATGTTCTCTAAACAAGTATCAGGAGGACTTACTTTTAGCAGAGAATTTGTTCTCTTTTCTGGTTCGTCCTGTTTTCTTTAAGCAGCCATCACACACAAAGCTGAAGTGGAAACAAGAAAAAGGAATGAATAACCCCATACCTAATGCTGCTAAGGTACTCATAGTAAGATTCACAACATAGGTTTGAAACATCAGGAACAAAACATTCTACCAGATGTAAAAGACTAGGGAACAGCCACACTGAAAATATTGGATAAAACAGGATAGGAGGAAGAGAATGGCAGTAACTCTACTAGTGGAAAGTTACTGTCATCTTAACATCTGGAGCTTTTCAAGACAGAACATGAGAAAGCTGAATGAACAGAGCATGAACACAGTTGATCTTTACAATATGGGCTTATTCCTCTGAAACCTCCGGTATTACCACTGATGGAGACAGGATCCTGGTTAGAGGAACTAATGGTCTGATGGGAATATAGAAAATTCTAGGATCCTAGTACACAAAAAAAATTCTGGACAAACCTAGGATTCTTCCCCAAGCAGTTAAGGGCCAACCACCCTTATAAAAAGAGGAATAGGAGTAGCAAGATGGCAAATCTCCAAATTGTGCAATCAGCAAAAAGTACGAGTTCTTTTTACAGAAATTTACTTACAGCAGAATTATAATTGATCATTTGTTATCTTAATCACTATAATTAGGAAACACTAATAAAATTTAAATTTACTAAAGTCTCTTGTACTTTTGAGTTTCCTGATTAAGAAAGATCTACAGCAAGTCCAGCCAAGATACAAATGGAGGTTTAGACCTTTGCCTTTCAGGATGTAAACGGCTCGTAGCTGGGGTCAAGATGATGCAGTCTACCAGTTCAATTCTTCAGTGATGCCAAAATGTTTAAACTGAAGTTTATATTACACAGAAATACATATCCCAAAGAGTAAGGAAAACAGACCAATATAAAGCAATGGCAATTAGTAATTATGACATCAGCACTCCTGGTCAAGGACAATCGTAACTTCAGTGAACTAATATCTAAAAGTTCTTCTTTTACATAAAGGTATCCTAGTGATCAGCAATGGTAAGAAATGCAGAACATTTTAATCAAGACACCATCCAATATTTAAGTTTATTGGACATTGGATATTGTTTAAAATGTTAACAGCTAATGGAATGTCTCCCATTGGATCAAGTTTTTTTAGACATAGGATTTCATATATATAAAACGTAACGTATCAAAATGTAGGTATATACACATCAACACCTGTACACCAACCAAATGTCATCTATTCAAGAAAGGGAGCAAAAGCTGAAGAAACTCACCCAGATGGCCAGATTATTTCGTTATGAAGCACACAGATCTGGTGCATTTTTCTCCCACACTCTATACATTCAACAAACCTGGATGTCAGAAAAAAAGTGTAGAGAGCACATTAAATCAACTACACTAATTACAGGGTTACTTAAGCTAACAATGTTTCAAAGATAAATGTGTACTAAGACTCGTACCTCATGCCTTCCCTAACACACAGAGTCAAAGGGAGACAGGGACCCTATTCCTTGAGAGTTCAGAGATTTAAGGGTGGACCGGTGTCATTTGTGCTAGGTGCCTGGGATCAGAAGCAGCCTCTGAATTTTACTCTTTGGACTGCAGAGGTACTACAACAACGATGGAAGGGATAGAGTTTGAGCCATATTTTCATTCTTTCCTTCCATGACCCTTGCCAAATTGAAAAGCAACACTGACTGATCCCATGGTAGGAATGAGCCCCTCTGACCTATTCATTAGGAATTAAGACATTTTAGCAGCTGCAATGTGGGTGGCAGAATTAGGGACTGGATTAAGGGCTAAAAGATGATAAAAAAGCATTGGGGAGATGTAGGGGAAGCAGATTGCTATCTGGTCACCACTGGCTCCAGCACCTGAATGTCCACTACTCTTTCTCCAGTAAGAAGGACAGAATAGCAGCCAACTCTGTTTAATTTAACATACTCTGTCATCCTGGTATAGCTGCCTGCAAAGTAGGAAGATTACAGAAACCAAGAGCAGAAAAATGCTGCTGCAGAATGATCTGAACTAAATTTTGACCTCTCCATACGCTATACCAGGGGTGGCCAAACTGTGGCTCGTGAGCCACATTCAGCTCTTTTACCATTAAAGTGTGGCTCACTGAGCCTCCGCCCCCCGCACTATTTACCCCCCATTCTCCACCTACGAGGGATGAGGGGGGAGGAAAGAGGGGTTTGGCCCTCTGCCTTGCAGGGACTTCTGCCCTGTGAGGAGGTGGGTCACGGGGCTTTAGACCCACTGGGTTCACCTGCCGGGGCTCAGGGCTTCGGCAGGAGCGGGGTTGAAGCCCCGAGCCCCATGAGGTGCCTCTCACGGAGCTGAAGCCCCGAGCCCCATCAGGTGTGCCATGGCTCTCGAACTTCTGAGCCGCATACAACAATCTTCAGAAGGTCAGTAAGTTTGGCCACCCCGCACTACACCAAAAGAAAGAGCTTCAAGTAGCACAGCTAACTGCAGTTTTCTATCAAACATCAGAATTCAAGAAGAACGAAATGGACTCTGCAACTCCAGCAGCCCATAACCTCAAGATCGCATTTTCTCAGGCAGATCTGTGACGATCTGGAGTCTCAGGACAGAATGCAAAACTTAGTGCTTGCACACCAGCCCCTGCTGGCCAATTAATGGAGCAGCATTAAGCTAAGAAAACTATGAAGTGATGGCTTTTTTCACAGGGGGTGAACGAGGAGATTGGGGATATAGATTTAAAAATAAATAAGTTGAGTTGCCAGAGTATTACTTACAGTTCAGGATCTAGTGTATCATTTTTCCTCTTAGAAAACTGTTCTTTGTTTATCGTACTAAGGAGAAAGAGACAGGTGATAAAAACTTAGTTGTGATATAAGATAAGCATTCATAGTATACTAATTTCCCGCATCTCGAGCATGCCCAGGCACATTCACTGTAACTGGATTTCTTAAGTGTTTACGATGCTGTGGGTATAGGAGTAAGAAAGAGTTCATAATGAGATGGCTGAGCACAAAGTATGTGCTTGCTCCTGCCCTGGGGCAAGGATGCTGTTCTATTGGAGAGTGACTTGTACAGACATTTGCTCCTCCCAGAAATGAGATTACTAGTGCATGCCTCAGGTAGATTTGAACCGGAGAAGTGCACCAGTAGTCTAAATGCACACCCTGGAATGGCATATAGCTATCTCAATTTGGGGCTCATTAGTTTTATATTTCTTTTTTGAAAGCCTTTTAAAATTTAGTTTTGGGTTAGTTTATGAAACATACCTTTCCTCTATGAGAGATAGTTCCTACAAGGATCTATGGAAAAATTGGTATAAGCTATTATGGAGGGAATACTCTATTCTCAAAACAACCTGGATTATTCAGACCCTTTCACAATGAGACCAGTTATAATAGCCTCCTCCTGGAGTAACACTTGAAAAAAAACTTCTGCATCCCCCTGCAGCCTGGCCCTGGTACCCAGCTGTACCGCTTCTCACTTAATCTGGACTATCTTTTTCCCCATTTAACAGAAAAATCCCTCCAACCTTTATGAGTCTTTTGGTGATGGGGTCCCAGCCATGGATATCTGGGATGTGGTTTATGGCATAGTAACATTGGCTCAAAGAACTAAACAGCTTTGAACTATCAATACCTAAAACTACACTAAATGACAGTAGGTAGAGCTGTGAGATTTGGAGGGGTTGAGCGTGTGGAGAGAAGCATGCACTGAAGTTATCACAGGAACAGAGAATCAGTCCAAGTTGCATGGGATTGCTTCCCCTTCCTATCCCCTCTATTTCAGGGTTCAGCCTGGGTTTTGCAGGATGCAGTCATCCTTCCCCACAAATATGAGATTTATATAAAAGGGCCAACCCTCCCTATCATCTCAGAAGTTACATGCTATTCCTCATCTCACACATCAAAAAGTTCTGGTTTTGTTACTATTCCCTCCCAACCCTTTTCTTCTAAAAACATGCTGTCAGAGTGAGAAGACTGGACTCAAGGTAATGGGGCCTATGAGTTTACAGGCTGCACCAAGATTAATATGAAACAAGGGGTGGTGGCATACCAAAAAAATTAACTACTGACTCATTTGAAGGAGGAGACTTTCAAATTCATTATGTAGTAACCACTTATTTATAGGATGGGGGGGAGTACACCACATATTAGGAATTATTTTCTTCATTTTACTACTGTTAATAGACATTTCAACACCATTTACTAGTTAAATTTAATAATGAATACAGTTCAACTATTTGTATTTGCAATTATAGTACAAAATTTGGTATACAGAAATTAAGCAGCACTCACCACAGAGGGCCACCTTTCTTCATTCTACCTGACGCTGTTGCAAATTGTGCTATTCACTTGCCTAATTTATGTGCAATGTGGTTTATACATTGCCGATTGGCAAGTGGCAGTTCATATGGTCTAGAAGTCTTACAGATCTCAGATCATAAAACTGTTTAACATGAGTAAACTGTGACCTTTGATTCTAGGGACACTATTGGAAATGCTGACTAGCATACCAAGGCCACAACACCCACTTCTCTCTGCCCCAAAGAAAATTGACAAGTGCTCCCACAGCAATCCAAGGTATAAATGATCCCTCTGCAGCTATTCTAGATAGTAGCATATCCCTTACTGTGACCAAGATTTGGCCATTTTGTGCTTCTGATAACCTTTGTTTCCAGTCAAAGGCATCATCTTGTACCTTCCTTCCTATATGCCAGTTTCCAATCACCCAGATTGGGAATTTTCTGCGTTCCCTACCTCTTTCCCCCTGTAGAATCTATGCTCCAAGGAGTTTCCCTGGAGAGTCCAATATCGGCCCTAATCTGCAAACTAACAACCGTGCACTCATCTGCCCATGCTATTGGTTTCCTTCCTCACTGGAATTCTCTGTTGCAAGCCATGAGGAAGCAAACAATGTCCTAGCAGTTGTCAGAGCATCACTTCCACTACTATTACTACAGAAAAAACAATTAAATCCATGTCAAGCTCTCCAAATCGTCTGCCCATCAGCAACTGTGCAGCATTTCTTACATCAGGAGTGGGCAAACTTTTTGGCCCGAGGACCACATCTGGGTATGGAAATTGTATGGCGGACCATTAATGCTAACGAAAATGTGGGTTGGGGTGCGGGAGGGGGTGAGGGCTCTGGCTGGGGTGGGCTTTTGGGTGGGGCTGGGGATGAGGGGTGGGGGTGCAGTAGGGTGCTCCGGGCTGGGACCAAGAGGTTTGGAGGGCGGGAGGGGGATCAGGGCTGGGGCACGGGAGAGGGTCAAGGGGCCAGGCTCCGGGCGGTGCTTACCTCAAGCAGCTCCCAGAAACAGCAGCACGTTCCCCCTCTGGCTCCTATGCGGAGGCGCGGCCAGGCCGCTCTACACGCTGCCCTGTCTGCAGGTGCTGCCCCTGCAGCTCCCATTGGCTGCGGTTCCTGGACAATGGGAGCTGTGGGGGTGGTGCTTGGGGTGGGGGCAGCATGCATAGCCCCCTGGCTGCTCCTACGCATAGGAGCCGGAGTGGGGACATGCCGCTGCTTCCAGGAGCTGTGCAGAGTGGGGCAAGACCCCGACCCCACTCCCCAGCTGTAGCACCGGAGCGGGGCAAGACCCAGACCCCGCTTCCCGGCGGGAGCTCGGGGGCCAGATTAAAATGTATAGAGGGCCGGATGTGGCCCCCGGGCCGTAGTTTGCCCACCTCTGTCTTATATGATTACAAGATAGTGCTCCAATAAAAAGGGTCTTAAATAGCTCAATGGCAAAACTGAGTTGTTCTTGCTTGTACTTTTAGGCAGAAGACAGAAGAGTGAACAGAAAAACTCCCTAAAGCAGAAGGGCATAGATTCAGAGGAGATCTAGAAGGATGTTTGCTATGCACCCTACCCTTTAAAAAACGTCAATTTTCATGTGAAGATATATCCTGACCTCTTAGTATTGTCCAGGATTTGAAAGACAGATGTCCCCACCCACACTTAAGATAAAATCCAGATTTTTAAACTTCCCCCCCACTCAGTATTTGGTCCAACTCTTGAAGAAAGATTAAAGCAAACCCCTTTATTGCCTAGGCATTTCCTAATCTTTGAGAGTGCATTTTAGATCATGCTATAGATCAGAAATCACAAAAATAAAAATATATAAATAACTATCCCAAGCAGATATATGGCTACTCACGTCTGAGGTTGTGATGGGTCATCCCCCAGAGAAACGCTCTCCCCCTGGATTTCGTTGAAGCACTTCTCACAGAAATGATACCTGTCAGCAAGAAGGCCATATTTGGGTGAACTGTTCCGTCCACACAACACAGCCCAAGCCAAGCAACGGAGCCACCAATCACAGCAGGCCAAGGAGGGGGCGGGAGCAGAGAGCAGGTCATCAACGGCGACAGGGATATTCAATGATGTAGATTTATGGGCCCCACAGTTTGTGTTTGGTTGGTTTGTTTTTTTGGTTTGGTTTTTTTGCAATCAAAGCCAAGTGCAGACAACGACAAGCATGAAGGAGAAATAAAAAATAACACACACACGAACAAACAAAGAAATGGGGGTTGTAGGACAAAAACAAAAAACACAAAAGCAGGACAAGACAACACAAAGCAGAAAGCCAAGGCAAAGCACAGATTAGCATTAAATCTCAAATGGGATCACAAGCAGCAAATGATTATAGCAAATAAAACAAAAGAGTATTACATTTTAGCATACCCGCACCCTCTTCATTTTAAAAAGCAACGCAATATAAAGCAAAGAATCAAAATGAGGAAAGGGAAGAGGGTAGAAGGACGGAAGGATTGCTACTCTGGCAACTATATCAGGATAGCAATTCTGTCTGCAAGAGCATCTGCTAGGAGATGACTGGAAGGGGGAATCTTCCACCTTTAAAAAAACCACTCAAAGACTGAAGGGCCACAGGATTCTCTCCTCACTGAAGTGGACTCCATGGCTTGCAATAAGCTACAAGATTCTCATTTTCATCAATTTAAAGGGACAGTAATCAGTCCTCAAAACCACCATCCATTTGTTTTAGGTCTGTCAAATTACATGTAAAACAGGTATTTGAAATGTATTAATTGCATTCATACTGCTCTAGATTCGCACAGTATTGCCATACCCCAATTTTGAGACACAAAATACTTTAGATTTCAACAAAATGAAACCGTTCTGTGGTGTTTATTTGCATTTGAATGAAACTAGTGTTTTATTCAAGATCTGTTCCCCACCCCTCAAAAGTCTATTGAAACTACAGTCTCTCCATTACTAATCATATTAACTGGAGTGCACAAAACATCTAAAAACAAAAGAAAGAAAATAAAAAGTTGCAACAGTTTATCATAAAGCAACACAAACCAACACTATGGGATCTGTAAAGCTAAAGAAGTCACTTTATCCTCTGAGCTCCCTCCATTATAGATGGAAGATGAATCATGATTTTACTTAAATATATATTATATATACACAGTTTATATATTACATACACATATATTTAAAGATCAGAAGTGAATGATACTCAAGTTATGGAAGCAAGTTTAGGAAGAAGATTCTTCTGGTCCATTTAGTGCTCACCAAAGGATGGCACATGAGGAGAAACTATTGACTCATGGCATGAAATGTTCTTGCATATAAAACCAATGAAAATCCAGATTCAAATTTCTTTTTATGAGACACTATGCCTCTTTTCCCCACTCCTCCATTCCCACCCATAAAAACTCCCTTCATGCATTGTGCAATGCAATCCTCTTCCTGCAGTCAAAGAGGGCTGGATGCAACCACTGTTCTGTAGATTCTCAATGCTTCTTTCCACCCCTACAGGCTGAATACACTTCTCCTCCTGAAAGACCTGGCTGGCTTCAAGATGAAAGACTTTTCTTTGAAAGGTGCCAGACTGGAGAACAGAAAGCAAGAACCATACTGAATAAAAGGTGGCATAATTGAAAGATATCTCGAAGTGTTTAGTAACAAACCAAGGGCTGCCATCCCTGAATGTTAAGCACAGCACAGTGTTCTTCCAGGATAAGAAGAAATATCTAGCAAGAAACCCTCCCTAGGAAGTTAAATAGGTTTTAATAAACTGCAGGTCAAACATATTAGCCAGGAAGAGAATTTTGGAAGTGACAGTATTTTATATTGTTGCTGACAGCCACAGAAACGCAACAATTCACTCAAGGGGGCTTGTGATGAGAAAAGCACTAATTCCCTCAGCAAGATTTGAATAATTAATGAAGTATGTGTCAAAGACAGCTACATTATTCACTGCAAAATTCTTCATAACAATAGCATAGAGAACCAGTTACTTGCTGAATATGATCAGAAGTTCACCGCACAAAAGAAAGTTACTAACTTATCTGCTGAAGGACTGTTGTGTACTGTTTGGCAAGGAGAAATATAATTTATTATAGCATAATATACTGATGAAAACAAAATCTGACTACAGGATAAAAGTCTACTGAATACCACAGGTTTTTTTTAAGACAAAGGAGTAAGAGCAAAGGGTGCAACAAGCCTTTTTGCAGAATGGCAGCTTGCTAATACACAATGTAAGCTGTTTAGGATGTTTCCAGAAATTTAGAATGTGACATGAAGGTATACACATGTATGAAGGATGCATACATATACAGGCACGCCTCTGCCCATAGATTGATTGGTGATGCATGCTGTAACCAGTTTTACTTACCTGTTCTGGTAACTGTAGTAAGTGGCATCTCGAGGGATTGTGCATAACTGTTTGCCATAGCAACACAAAGTCTGTGGTGAGAACTCCAACTGCAGAAAGAAATTATTTTCTTAGTATTCATGCATGTTTCCACTGGCTCTCCCTGAGAAGTGGGTATGACCCTTACAGTGAAGATCATTTAGATTACTAAGATTGCACCATTATGTGCACAAATCTGAACAGTACAGTATGAGAGTCTATACTGAATGTTAACACTATAAAAATGTTCTGTTCAGCTGTCATTTACAAGTTAGGCATTTCTTTATACACTTTTCCCAACAGGGAATCTATTTCCCCGTTCTATGATTGGGTGAGTCAATTATATAATACCACAGAGCGATCACTTTGTTATAACACTCAGAAAAGCTGATGTACCTATTTCAAACTACATTAAGCCTTAATACATATCCTCACAAGCTTGCTTCTGGTGCATTATATTAAAAAAATGTTGGTTTTAAGCAGTTTGTGTAGTATTAGACATTTTATGACCAAGATTTTAAAACGGACACCTAAAATTAGAGTCTAAGGTCATATCTAACACAGCAAAAAATTCCATGACAGCAAGTGTCAGAGCCCAGTTCAACTGACCTGGGCTCATGGTACAGGGCTCAAAACAGCAGCACACACATTCCTGCTTGGACTGGAGCACAGGCTCTGAAACCTGGTGATAGGAGCGGGTCTCAAGGCCTGAGTGGGAACATTGACACTGCTATTTTAAGCTCCATAGCCCAAGCCTGAGCCAGCTGACCAGCCTCAGATTCACTGACACTTATTTTTTTGTCCTTAAATAATTAAATAAGTGGCTTGATTTTCAGAAGTTCTGAGCACCCAACAGCTCCCACTGACTGCTGCTCCTATGCTCTTTCATATTATATATTACACATGGAGATGGGAAAAAAATCTATAAGGAAGTTGCCCTTCCTTACCTTTCTCCCACAGCAATAACCAAGGCTCTGCATAACTGGATCAATTTCTTGTTCAAACACCTCTGCCAGTCTGGAGCAGTACTTATACACGCGGGATGTCTTGCGGTTATAGAGCCAAGCGTTGTTGAACATGAGCCAGATATCATCCACATATTGCCAAGGTTCCTGGTACTGTCCTGTATCTAGCTTCCTCTTGATGGTAGAGAGGTCCATGGGGTTCTTCACTATATCAAAGTAATCCTGCAAGAATGAGGGGCATTTCAAACAAGATCAGAGAAAATGTATTACAATGTGATAGCATGTGTGTTCTTTAGACAAGATTCTTCTTCAATACTCTTGCAAGCATTAGAAGTAACAACCCTAGAACATGTAATGCCAAACATGGACTGTTCGTGACATACAGTGCTCTCTCTTAGCAATGCATCTCTCCCATGCAAGGCCTTCCTTCCCTTATTTTCACCACATTTCTTGGATACTTTACTTTGCCCTTCCAACCTTGGCCAAATAAAACCACTTTGCTATTGGTTAACAAGGACTAAGATGGCCAGGGAGACTAGAAGCTCACATTTACAATCACTATTATTCTATTACATATTTTCACTATGTATCTATTTAGTTTGATATTCAGTTATATAATTTAGTATTGTTCTGAAAGTGTCATACTGAAATAGAAATCATGTAAAAAACAACGACTGTACATACCAAACAGGTCTTTGCAGGAATTGTGGACCAAAGCACCCGAATCAGGTTGCTGTCATGAATTTTAACTTTTGATACACTCATTTGTGTGCACCAAGGAACTGAAATTAGTTTATGGCAATGATACTCAGACCTCTGGTTCAGGAGCCAAATTAGCAATCAGCATTACCCAGGAGCCATAGTTGTGTGAATTAATAGTTTCATTTACTATAGTATTGTTCATATTTGAACAGTATGAGAGGGGAAATATTTATTATAGCGTTATATACAAATCTCACATCCAATAAGTTAATAACTTAGTGCAAACTCATAACTTAATTGGTTAATAGTAAAAGCATCCCTAATTGGTTAATAATTAAATCACACAGTGTTTTAATATCATGTGCTGCAAAGAGCACTGGCTAGATCCAACCACCTTGACCTGGGTTTTGTTTTACTTGCTTCTATAGTATTTAGCAGTGCATGATATCAGTTACTGTTTAAATGAATTTTCCAAAAATTTTAGCGTTGATAAGCTTCCTGAACAGTTGAGAAACTAAACTGTTGCCACACACTTCGGGTGAGAATGGCTTCCCTGGTTTCCCAGGACTTTGTGACACTGCAGAAACAGGACAGTATGCAAATGTCCTGCAAAAGCCAGTATATGTAGGATTCCATCAATAAGAATAATTTGATGTCTTCCCATTCTTCTATTTTCTCTTTAACAGAAGACAGAAAAACAAGCCTTAAAAATAAGTTTCTCTATGCCACAGATGTGGTACAAACCAATCCCAAATCCAAGCTCTTCCAATCCATCTATATAAAAATGGAGACAGGATTACAGCATGCCATCTGGTCTCCTCGGGCAGACAAGTCCTGGAGTTGAAGCTATAAGTTAAAAAACAGGGAAACAGCTTGATAATAAACTTACAGGAATTCCTAGTAGTTGGGGATCCACAGGCTGTCTGAAAGGAAGGGACTCAGGATCCTGCCGGTATAGCGCCTCCAATGTTGGCATAAGTGCCTGCCGCAACTCTTCCGGTTTGAAAACTTTTGAAAAATAAATACACGCAAAGATGGAGTAACAGCCAGAAGCAAGAAATCTGCTGTAAAATTTGAATGCTGTTGAAAACACTACACACACTGTATATACAAGACACTTAAACATATTGCGCTTACACCACTCACTGCAATGCTGGGTTTTGTGGAAGACAGAAATTAGACTGGAAGCCCATAATGTGAAATGACATACTAAATAAAGAAAAAACGTTTACTTACATGTACACTAACTGTTGTTCTTCAAGATGCGTTGTGCACATATACATTCCATTGCAAGTGTGTGTGCACCCAATGCACTTAAATTTGAGATCTCTACCAGCTGCACCACAAGGTAGAGCATAAAAGGGGCATGGTTGCCCCCCTCCCTCCGCTCTTTTGCACTGCCGTCTAATACCTGAATTAGCAGGGAATGTATATGTGTATATGTGCACAACACATCTCAAAGAACAGTTACTGTATAGTTAAGGAGCCATTTTTTCTTCCAATGATTATGCACATATACTTTCCACTGCACGTGACTCCTCAGCAGTTTTCTTACAAGTGGAGGGACTTCAGATTAAAAGAAACTGAAGCACCAACTTGCTGATGTTAATGTAGAGTAGTGTCTGGAGAAGGCATGTACCAACAACCACACTGCTGCTTTGCAGGTATCCACTACAGGAATGTTGGTCAGAGAGGTTGATGAAGTGGAATGAGCTCTAGTGGAGTGTGCCATTACCCATAGTGGAAGAGAGACCAAGATCATAGCAAAATCGGCAGTCCAAAAATCCAATGAGATGCTGAGCACAGGCTATAAACAGTCTGCGAGACTATGTGAAAAACTGCACAGTCCAGGTAAAATGACAAAGCACTGCAAACACACGAGAAGTGAAGCTTTTCTTAAGTCTTGGAAGATGAGGGCTTGGGAATAGAGCCCTGCACGGATAAAAATGTATATCCGTGAATATAAAATCTGTATCCGTGGAGCTGTGAAAGGAGTGGCAAAAGGAGCAGCACATCAGGCTGCCACTCCCAGGAGCCAGCACCCCACACTGGCAGCTCCTCTGCCGTGGCTGTACCGCCCCTGGCCCTGTCCATTGGGGTGGGCACCAGACTCACCAGCAGCTGTCCCTGGTCGCGTTAGTGCGTTCAAGCGTCACGCACACTCCCAGATAAGAGTCCCTTCCACGCAGTGGTCTGCGTCTCCTGTCCAGGGGGCGTGAGCCGCCTGAACACACTAGTGTGACCAGGGATAGCAGCCAGTGAGCCTGATGCAGCTGCAGGCAGTAAAGCCATGCCAGAGAAGCTACAAGCATAGGGCGCTAGCTCCTGGGAGTGGCGGCTCAACAGTGCTGCTCCTTTCACCACTGCAGTTCCCAGTAGAGCCCTTCAGATCCGCGGATATCGATTTATATCCGCAGATATAAATTTGTATCTGCACAGGGCTCTATTTGGGAAGAATACTGGAGACTGTCTGATTAAGATGGAATACTGATACTACATAAGGCCTAAATTGAGGCTGCGCCTAAGAGAAACTATCTTTGTGGAAAACTGTGAAAGGAGCATCAGCCAGAAGCGCCTGAAGCTCAAACTCTCCTAACACATGAATTTGTTTTTTTGTTTGGTAACAAACCAAACAAACAAACACTGTTTCTGAGAACAGCAGAAGAAATGATGTTGCCAGGGGCTCAAAAGGGGTGCCATTAAGCAAGCCAGTACTAGATTCAGATCCCATAAAGGTACCGGATCAGACACAGGCGGGTACGCATTAACAAGATCCCTTAGAAATCTAGAAAACACGGGATGTGAAAACACAGAAAAGATAACCATGGGAGGGTGCACCATAGAGATGCAGGTTAGGTGTGCTAACAAATAATTGAAAAAAATCAGTATTTTAGATACAGTTGATAGTCCAATAAAGGTATAATCTCTGTGCGATTTGGTGGTAAATGGTGAGATTCCACCCAGATCGAAAACGTTTTCCATTTTGCTGCATACATGGCTCAGGTGGAATCCTTTTTTGCTGTTCACCAAGGTGGCTTTGACATCCAGGGTGCATAATTGCTCACGATTACTCAACCAGAGATCATCGATATGGTGAGGTGGAGAGACTGCAGGTTTTGATGCAGAAACCTGTCCTGGTTTTGAGACAGAAGATCCTCAGTCAGTGATAAAGTTATGGGTGACCAAGTGGAGAGCTAATTAAGGTCTGAACCAATGTTGTCCCTGCCAGGCCAGTGCTGCAAGAATGAAGGTTGCTTTGTCTCTTTAGTCTCCTGATCACCCTCAGAATGAGAGGGACTGGAGAGAATGTGTACCGCAGATGGCTTGATCAGGGGAAAAACGGTTACCATATCTACGTTTTGTAACTGTTCTTCGAGATGTGTTGTTCATGTCCGTTTCATTCTAGGTACGTGCGTGCCCACTTGCACAGTTGTCAGAGACTTTTGCCTTAGCGGTATCTGTAGGATTGGGTGTGGCACCCCCTTGAGTGCCGCGCTCATGCGCCGGTATATTAGGCACCGCCAACCATACGCCTTCTTAGTTCCTTCTTGCCGGAAACTCTGATAAAAGGGTAGGAGGGCGGGTAATGGAATGGACATAAGCAACACATCCCGAAGAACAATTACAAAAGGTGGGTAACTTTTTCTTCCTCTAGTGCTTGCTCATGTGGATTCCATTCTAGGCGACTCAAAAGCAGTATCCTCTGAGGTGGGCTTGGAGGTCACAGTTTAGCAGCTTGTAGTACTGCACTACTGAAGCCAGTATCGTCCCGGGCCTGCTGGGTAAGTGCATAGTGGGACATGAACGTATGGATGGACGGACAACCAGGTGGCCACCCTACAGATGTCCTGGATAGGCACTTGGGCCAGAGAAGCTGCTGAAGAGGCCTGCGCCCTGGTCGAGTGGGCGGTTACGATTGCTGGAGGGGGCCCCCTTCACCTGATCCTAGCAGTAGCAAATGTGGGTGGTGATCCAAAAAGAAATTCTTTGAGCAGACACTGTGACCTTTCACCCTGTCATCCACCGCAACGAACAATTGCACCAACTTGCAGAATGGCTTGGTCCTTTCAATGTAGAAGGCGAACGATTTCCTGACATTTAGGGAATGCAACCTACGCTCCTCCTCCGACTTATGTAGCTTTGGAAAAAAGAGATAAAATGTCCTGGCTCGTATGAAACAGAGACCACCTTGTGCAGAAAAGCCGGGTGTGGCCTCAGCAGGAACTTGTCTTTGTAAAAGACCGTATAGGGCGGTTCCAAGGTGAGTGTCTTAATCTCAGAGACCTGGCGAGCAGATATTACTGCAACCAGGAACGCGACCTTCCAGGACAGGAGAAGAAGAGAGAAGGAAGCCAGAGGCTCCGAGGGAGGGCAGGTGGTGGTGGT